GAAAACATTTTAAGAAATCTCGGCGTTATTGTCTAGCTAAAGCATTCACCTTTCACAGGAATATTCGACCCCTTCCGCATCTTCACTCAGGATTCAGATATCCTGGATCGAAATCAAGCATTTTCGGGCAACGAAACGGGTGTACTGTTCAGCCTTATGGTTAACTATTTTAAAATGGCTTCATAAGAATTGAATAAATCACAATTTTGCAGTTATTTAGTTCATTGCTTTACTTACTTATTCATTTATTTATTATCTCTCCCTTGTTCTGGGCTTTCAACAGGCTTGCGAGTGACCCGCATAATGCTTTTTTAGAGGTGCCCCTGCAGAAGGCCCATAAGTTGTTCTGTACTACTCCGGTAATTACCGTACGAATTAGGAAAACTGCAGGAAAACCTAATTCGGAGTAACTCAGCTACCAATAGTGATGTTCAATTACACGTTTTTTAAAGTGCGTAATATTACGTGTAAAATTACCAATTGTTTATGTTTTTTATGTAATTTATGTAGGGGAGAGGTGGGCAAAGTGGACACCTTAAGCTAAATTCACTTGGTATTCCTATATTTCTTCACCAATCATTTTGGTGAATTTTTTCTGGCATAATTAAACATTTTCGTAAGTGCGTTATTAGTGAAAAACAATTTTTTTTTATTTTAATTTTTTTATTAATAGTACATTTGACCACTTTACCCAACCTGGTTGGGTAAAGTGGTCAGTGGAGTAGGGTAAAGTGGTCATCTACAAAAATCACACAAGAACACATCATCTTGCTCATCGCACCCTTCGCACTCCTCGTGGGCCCACTTTAGGCATCGCTGGCACTTTAGTAAGGACATTGGGACGTAAGTGGACATTGGGTCGGGCAAAGTGGACCAGGGTGGGCCGCTTTACCCGAATGCGTTATTTTTAGTTTCATTATTTATTGCAAAATTTTGTGCTAACCAATCAAACCATCAGAACCACAGATTTATTTGTAAACATTTAAAGTAAACGTACCCGATAGAACACAATCCTAGATTATTTACAACACTCGAAAAACGATGATAAAAGTATGTACTTATTTTACATCAGAACACCACTTTTGACATTAACCTGTAATATCTTGACTCACATGTACACCAGCATATTCAGTTTTCTACAGTGTCTATAGTTAGTGAATCTACCAATTTATTTTAATATTTCGAAATTGTCACTAGATGGCAAGTGCATTAAATTATCGTTGGCCACTTTACCCGCCTATGCCACTTTACCCACCTCTCCACTTACCACTTTTAAAAAAAAACAAATTTTACAGTAAAATTACCAGTAATTTATGTTTTTTACGTAATTCACAAATATTTTTATAAAATTACCTGTCATTTATGTTTTTTATGTTTTTTTTTTTAATATTCCATAATACTTTTTGAATTTTGTAAGTGTTTGAAAACAAAAACACTTGTTAAATTATATATTTTGGTGTATTAAATAAAATACCCAAGCAGTAGGTATTTTGCCATCACGCGTCGTTTGGAGGAAGAAGTTCCAGATCGCGAATTAGATGCTGTATCATCGTCATTAAACCAAACTAGATTCAACGGTGAATCGTTTACGTTGGTAGTACCGTTGATGGTCTGTGGTAGTACCGATCAAAATGTATCAAATAGGTATTACATTTATGTAACTTACAAAAATTACGGTTTTTTGAATAAAAAACGTAACGTTACGTAAATTTCATAAAAGAGATAAATTACATAAAAAAACCGGCCTCTTGTAAGTTACGCGTAATATAACCGTTTTTTATGTAACTTACAAATCGTTATTTTACAATCCACATCACTAGCTATCAAAGACATTTTCGCCCTCATGTACCGCTTCATAATGAAAGAAAAAAGAACTAATATGCCAAAAAATAAACCACGTTTAGATAAGACGAGTGTGCAAAAAATAAGAATCGAAACGTCACAGTGTTGCCGGTTCTAAAAACCATTCTTACGGACGCTATACCTTCACATCTATAAAAAAACGTAGCGATGCCTGTGTTGCGTTGGGTGCGTTTCGTATTTTTAACTCGGCGAGTACATAAGCAAACATTTAGTGGGAGAGAGGCATCCTTCGACAGACTTTAGAAGCGAAACTATATGAGTTAAGCCCGGCATTTTGAGATCGCGCATATTGTATTGTAAAATTGAAATAATTACTGAATTATAAGGGAAAATTGTGCCGCTATTTCGACGAAGTTATTATCGTTGTTGTTGTTTTATTTTTATAGCTGTTCTGTTTTTTTTACATTAATTGGTCGTGATCAATTGTTAACAATTTTAGTACTCTTCTTATTTTCTTCTGACGTGTGTAAATGCCATCTTGCAACCATTCACACAAATAAAACGTTAGTATTATTTTTATTATAATTCGCTCGATTTTAAAGGTTTTTTTCTACAAACCTTTCATTGCTGTAATTTTTCGAAAGGAAAAAACCCTTATGCGATGATTTTGTCTCTCCATCTGTTCGTCTCTTCCTCGTCTAACTCTAGAACAAAAAGAGAGGCTTCTACTAGTTCATAGATCACTGCTATTGGATTTGAGCTGGTTTCCGAATGCGCTGATTGAAAAAATTTCCCGTAACTGAAAATCGTATGCGATTCGTATCTTGTTTACGATTTTGACCGTCGTTCTGCTAGAACTTCCCTTTAGTCCATTTTAGAGGCAAGTTTTTTTTACAAATTGGATGTCAATGTAATTAATAAATGCATAATCATCCAGCATATTTTATCATAAACAGAGAAATTATCGAGATGACCCTTAAAATTTACAATTAAAGCTTAACGGAGGGGCTTTGAATTTAAAATAATTTTATATTCAAAGGCAGGGGTGAATCTAATTCATTTTCCGACATCTGACGTTAGTAAATTCGATTAGCAAGAATGCACTACTGTACTTACTACAGATGCCGTAAATGTTTGGTCAAGTTTACATCGCGACCTCTGACCCAAGATAGCGTCAACTAGACTCTCGGTAATGATAAAATTGGCTGCACTTAGGGGTGTCAATGCAACTAATTCCGAATCTGGTGCGTAGTAATTTGCATTTACTTTATTTCTTATTTTTACTTTAGTTGTGTAGAAATACTCCTCTATATTACGCTGCAGTTTTCAGTAGAGCCATCTATTCGAAGAGTGTATAATTGTATTTCGCTAAAATCGTTACTTTCGCTTTCAAATTTAACAGAAGGGCACGTATCTTAGTTATTGTGCAAGGTGATGAAGCATTTTTGGCGGTTTCCACGGCGAAATTATACACTATTACAGTTCCTGTGCATCAACTCAATGTATTTTGCAGTTTCCCCAGCGCATTTTCTACCACTTTCCCGTGCTAAGATCTTGTCCCTCACACGAACGGGCGAAAAAACTTCCCTTTTCATCCCTATCTAACTTTTACATAAATTAGGTATACGAAAACGGAAAATAACGAACCAGATTTCTGAAAAAAGAAACTTTTTTGTTTCAAAAAGCAACCTAAAATTTTTATTAAAGTATGTCAAAACCATAATTATCATTTAAGATAGATCCAAATTACATTGAATTCTGTCAAGAAAAATTTTCCTTTGGGAAAACGTTTAATTTATTTGCTTTGAGCTAGAAACATGTTCTTTCAAGAATTTGGCAACTGGTTTTAATTATGAATCCATTTATGCATTTTTTCACAGTACGAATAATTGTATTATGCACTTCCAATTCAATAGCCCAAAAAGCGATGTGTTTAGTCGCACATGAATAATGTGTTCGTGCATAAAATTCCTCTCCTTATAGATCATAATTTTGTTCTTTAGAAAAGTCAAAATAATTACTACCAGTAGATAAACTCAATGACATAAATTCGATTCATTAGTTTGAGGTATACTTTCTTAAACGACTTTGTTAAACACTTCTTACCTTGTCCCTTGGGGGATTACCGACTATCGCACCTTCATATTTTATGTAGGTACCAATTCAGAAAATCCGCTTTCTTAAAACTACATCGGTTATATGTCAATATATTTTTTATCAAGCGACTATTTCACCTCTTTTTTAGTTTTCATTGCGACTGTTGAACACAGCGGACGTGTTTATTTGGTTGTGATTGTTTTTCGCTTGTGAATTGGGCAGGACCTACGGTTTTGGATTCGAGGTGACTTATTACGGCCAGTCTACAAATCGCATCTCACAGATAAGTTTTTGTTTTTGACATTAGAGTTTCCTTTTATTTAATTTTATCGTTGGAAGTTAGGCCGTAATTGTAGCGCCAAGGCCAACCTATTTTCTCTAACCTTTCCTGATTGTGAGTGATTCTCCACCCTATATCCGCAACGTAACCTGGCGTGATCTTATTAAAAAACGCCTCCCAGTGAATCTTGAAATCAGCCCAAACATTCTTCAAACCCTTGTGGGGATCACACTTAAAGAACAGTGAAGTAATTTGAGATTGCAACATTCTCCTCGATAACTGTGTGACCTTTATGTATTTATTGTTAGGTGATTTAAAACTTAAGCAATTGGGTGGACGTCCGGGGTTGACATTGAAGCTGGAAGGTACAAAGTTTGATTTTATTTTTTCGTAATGTCGCAATAGATCTTCTTTTAGTAGGTCTGATGTTAAGGGTAGTAGATCGGTTAGTTGCTCGGCAGTGATCCAGCTACCATTTTCCTTAAAGTCAGATATACCTAATTTTAAATCCGAAACTCGGGCAGTTTGCGGAAAATATCGGTGATATTGCAGTGATCGATATACCAAATTTGGTTGCAATCGTTTAGCCGAAAATGAGAGTACAGACAGATAGACTTACAGACCGATCATCGACTCTACTCAGGGAGGTAATACCTACCGAATGTGAGGCCTAAGTACGTGTGGTCTTAGTACATCCTCCTATCGTAATCCAGAATCCAGAATGTGTATGGCATTTTAACGGATTTTCTTGGCAATTAAAAACGTATTGCTGGTATTGAATAAATGTGTGTTACATTTCTATAAAGACAAAATCACTTGATCCATTTTCAATATCTTTATTCTTTTACATGTTACATTCATTTACATGTACACTAATTTACATCACATTTATAACAGGTTGTTAACAAAAATAATTCGGATTTGTTACACTCTGTTACGCTTTGAATGAGTAGAAGGATTCGTATATGAAACAAATTCTCACTATAGATATTGGTGTAAATTTTAAAAATGCTCTCTGTATTGATATGGTTGAATGATAAATATCGTTTAAACATTGAAAACGAAAGCTGGGAACCATAAAAAATGTTTAACAACTCTCTACGCGACTACAACATAATGTGCAGCTACTTTTAACGACCGGGACACGTGGTGTCATATATACTTTGGGAAACTTCCTCCTTAGAAGTGACACATCAACAGATATAATGAAAAATAAAGTATTTGTGTTAATAAATAAACTTTCTAAGTCAAGCGCTCTAGGGAGTGTAGGATCCCATATTTAAATATACAAAAATAATAGTATCCCGTACTTTGCTATTATCTTTTATTCTTTAATGCTATGGAAGTAGAAGCGTACAACACTTTTCCGGAATTTCAGGAAAGAAGTGAAAGGATATGCCGGTACTGCATACCTACATTCAATTTGGGAACAGACCGTATTTGCAATGTGATGTAAAACGCTCAAGTCTACATGGTCGCGTAAAACAATTTTATCAATAACATTTATTAATTATTATTTGTTTAAGATAGTATTTATATTTTCAACGTCCCAACGGTGTATAATATATCTAGTGTTAATCGTGGAAACAGTTTAACATATTTTATTATTAAGAATATTTTAACAGTTTAGTCTCTACGTGTGTGTTATAGAGAAGAGGAAGAGTCTACATTTGACGCAGTTTTCTAATAGTCTGCTCCCAAGAAAGTTTTAAGCTACATCACACGAATACTTATAGATTGTCTGGCTAGGGTACTAAAAGGATATGTAACACTAATATACAAAGACATTTCAACATTTACAATTTAAATGTCTTTCACAGAGTTATATTAAATAGAGGATTGTCGCGTTTCAGTGTTAGGCCATGATTATTTAGAACGACGAGCTAGAAAATGCCACTAGTTTGTATAAAAAATGCGATCACTTCATAAAAATATATATAAATAGTGACATTCTTTTTTTCAATATTTAAGTACTTTAAGGGTCTGCTACGCTACGGAAGACAGAACCTTTACAATTGCCATCGGCGTTATATCCAATGATAGCGTCTTAGGTGGGGGTAATCAATGATATGCAATATTCATCGTTTTTTGCAAAGTGTACACGGATATAGACAGACAGACATATTACACGACACCTCACCACCACTTTGACTAACTACAACGTATAAGACACGACACTAAATGCGATGAGACATTCGATAAGATTCTGTTTCGTAGTTTGACTGTCTCTTGCTGTTTGGATTTTTTTCCTTTCTGTTTCGTACCAAAAACGTCTTCGGCTTATGCGTAACTAAGGCACGTATAAATAAATATTAAAACGGATTACTGAAAATGTTCCCAGACGGTCACCTACACACACCGACATTCCAGACAGTTTTCTACTATGATATGCTTTCACGTTTCATCTTGAACTTTAAAAGAAAATGTTGGGGTGAGTGGGAGATGACACTTAATTTTCCTGTACATCCAGAAAATACCTATTACACAATTCTGGAAGGACCTGTCGTTTAAAAAAGAACCTTCAGTAAACTGATGACTGCCCATCTGACACTCTGTCTGGTTGATTAGGCCGTACGACTCGGCAACGCCTGATGTGGCCAATATGCTATCAGATCATAAGAACGTGTGGTATTACTTCAAGTGCATGCAGTGTAATGGCCTACCGTTTCAAAATTTCTTGTTACTTTATACAGTAGGGTAGAATTTGAATTTGACAGAGTAACTTAAAGGTTAAATTTAGTTAACAGTGTATGTACTGCACTTTATAGATACTTGATAATTAATAATTAAACAGTAAGAATCTTTTAACTGCACCTGGAATTTTAAAATTGACGATTTTTTTGACGCCGATTTCATTTAGAACCTCGGTATTACTAATTTGCGTATCGTGTCCTTTTCCGAATAAACCAGAGTTTTTTAACAAAACAGAGATAGTAAAAGGTATCCGTTGACAGTGGAAAGGTGTAGAAATGTGCTTGTGCAACTTAATTAGTAAAAGAAATGTGCAATTAGGTCGTATAATGAGCGAGGTGTTACTCAAAAGGTACATAAAGTGCGAACCACTATTGGAGTACTGTAGCTCAATATGGGTTCTTTCCAATTAACATTAATTAATTGAATTAGAGATATAATATTTGCTATATGAATCTGTGTGCGGTCTAATATGAATAAATGCAACAGATGAGAGCGTTGGTCAGTGGTGGACTTAATAAATTAAAGTTAGGGTTTAAGCCGCGCGTTCGGCCGTTAATTATTTGTTTGCTAATTATGCAAGCTTAACTTAACTAAAAGAATTAATAATTCCTGCTCTCATAATTGGCTCATATTTTCATTTTATCACTTCGTGAATATGCCTTGAAGTGTTCCGAAGAAAGTTAGACTGGTTTTAAGGTCGCGACAGTAAGGTCAAATAGTACCTTATATGTGGGTTCTGCAAGAAATAGATCTAGGCTGAACTACGCCTAATAAATTAAAGAGATTATAATTCGGTCAGTGGCGCCAATAGAGCCTCTAACTTGGTTCAATGTAGCGCTGTCAATTACAACCCCTAATACTAGTCCGCGTTCTCGATGTTAGTAGGTTCTGAGTACTGTCATTTATGCGTACGCTCATTAGACCGAAATTAAAAGGGGCACTCCAAAAGTGTGCAAAGTGTCAGTTCGTGCGCCGCACCGCACAGAAACAGAGAAGGAGGAAGAACTGGACTGCGGTTAAGAGAAGGGTAGAAAACATACCGGCATAAGTTTAGTACTATTGCTGGGGCGACGGAAAACTTGGAAAAAGGAAAGTGGGTAGGTATACTTATTGCAATTACATTCGTAGGTATCTACCGCAGGATGGCCACAACAAAAAAGCAACAGATTTTGTCTAATGACTTTATCACCGAATGTATTGAAATATATAGCTCAGTGCCGTGCTTGCGGAAAGTGAGAGGTCTGCAATACTCGAACAAGAAACTAAGAAATAGAAGCAGATCACGATAGGGTAATCAAAAAAATTAATGCGTTAAGAGGAGCATTTCGACGGGAGTTAAAAAATGTAGTCATCAAAAAAATGTCGGGGGATTCGTCTGTGTCGTTTGTGGTTATTTTCTTTACTACTTTTCACAAGCGATCAAGAGGAGCCTCGAGGAACTACGGAGGTAATTTTTGAAGAAAGTAACGGCACCACTTTTGAGGGTAGCGAAAACAGAAAAGTCAACGAAATGAAGAGTTAAATTCGATGGCAAGAAATTTATACATAAATATGCAATATTTTTTTAATGAACAGGAAGATGCAGATTTAATATTTTATGTTCTGCTCAGTAGTGTCCCTTGGCCTCCATCCTCTCCTCCCATTCCACTCCTGAGAAATATTCCATATATCTTTGCACCACTGTGTAGAGGTTTCTCAACTCTTATGTACAGAGTTGATGAGCTACGAAAAATTGTTCCTTACTAATGCAGTTCCTTGAGTAATATTTTTAAGCATAAATTTTTCCAAATGACAAAAGCCATCGTAAGAGTTAATTAAGGAATAAACCTAATTAACTTTTACGATGCCTTTAATTTATTGTTCCTCTTCTACTTCAAATAAAAGTGCCGACGGGCGCCGAATTGTAATTTAAACTACTATAAGTCTGAAGAAGGGGGGTGGTATAATAATCGATGTAAATATCCCTGTCTCACCGCAGTATGTAAGACTATTTCATTATGGTAAGCAAAGGATTGGGCGCGATAATATATGGCACGCATTAAGTAGGTATACGGCCACGAAAAGTTGGAAGCGGGCAAATACTGCGAAATACGAAATAATTAGTGTTAGAATTGATCATTTTAAAACCGGTTGGTCCTATAGTTAAGGGCTAAGTGAACTATCAAAGTGAGTGAAAGAAGAGATTTAGTGCCAAAATTCTTCGCCGATAAATAGAAAAGCTTCATTGTCGAAATTATAAAATTGACATTTGAATAATCCAGCTTTTTGTTTCCCACGCCAGCTACGTAAGATTTTCTAATTTTTATTTCAATACCGCAGATTTGTAAGATTATTTAATATCTAAAAAACAAATAAAAATATTTAATTAGATTTTTAGTGACTCCTTTTAACGATCTGATACATTATTGGCCACCTCAGGCTTGCCTAATGCCTAATCCGAGAGAGGGGATATTAGTCAATTTGCAATGTTATAAACGTTTGTAATTGGTGGTGATTAAAGCGGTACGGTTTAAATGAACTAGTTTAAAAAAATCAAGCTTCACTCTTATTAACCAAACCGTACATCACACTCTATTAACTATTTTCCATGGGGGCTAGCCTAGGCGAAAGGCATACTTAAAGTAGATGTTTAAATTATTCTTCCAAAATTCTAGACAACATAGATAAGTAATGTTTGAAAAGATATGCTAATGGGGTTTATCCAGATTGTCATCAATGTAGTCGTAATTTCTGATTTAAAAAGAAGACAGTGGTGGTTTTGCAGATAGTGATTCAAGGGATAGACATGGGTACCAAAAACACTATCGTTATCACTTGGATTGAGACACAATTACTCACAACTTTCCAACAGAATGAGGTACTGAACAAATATTGGTAAGCCTATCAAATTTGCTACAAAAGCCAAGTTGTTCGAGGTTAGGAGGACGAAATTATAGGATTGTGAACCGAAAGCGGCGATACCGAAAGTCGGCTGGGGAAAAATCGACTATGGACGGAGTCGAGCAATTAAAACGACAATTCCATTTTGAATTTTGGTCATATTCGAGGAGGTCGAAGACACCTATTCAAATTTTAATTTAAGTAAATATTAGAGCAAATAAGAGGAAAAGGCTGTTCCTGCAGTCTCACAATCGCTTAGGTTTTTGGTGATGAGTATAAAAATAAATATCGCAATTTTAAGAAATGAATACCAAGTTACTTATACCAAAAGGTTATCACAGTTTAAATACGCGCGCTTGTTTCAAAAAACCTCAAAGTATCGACGATAAATAACTTATCAAAAGAAAGCTTATAAAACCGTGCCCTTTTCTGGTCTACTCTCTAACCTTTGTTCTTTGTTGGATAAATAAGTTTAAAGGACCTTTGTATTCGTTTGTCTAATCAAGGCGAATCATTTGAATCGGATCCTAAAGAATGGATGGGGAATAAGGGGTACCAACCGGTTGTAATACTTGTTAGCGTTAATAAATCTAAAGCTACTTCGGCTCCGCCTAGTCCCAAATTATGCTCGAAGCCGCCCTGCCTTTCCCACAGCATTACAACGAGACTTCTGCCTAAAACGTCGCACGCCTGGTATTTTAAAGTTTGCTTAAAATGGGGTTCGCATGTGTGCTTGACGACTCTCGTCTTCTTCTTCTGCAACCATCGTTCGCCATCACGCAGGTAACACTTAACGTACGTGTCTGGAGGCGCCACTTTGCTTGGTATGTGCCTCGCGCATAGCACCTCAACCTCCAACTGTCCCTTGGTCATTTGCAGTCCCAACTTTAACTCCACCGGCTTGGTGCTGGACAAACGGAAACCACGAGGCTTCACCTGTCCGGGACCTAACCGTGGCGGCGACGTACGTTCAGGACTTGACGGCGGACTTTCCTTTGTAGTCTCCAGCACTTCCGGTACAATACTATTTTCACGCGACTCCCTTCCAGATGGCCCACTTGTCGATCCTAATACAAAAGCAACAATTAAACGTTTGGTGCGGACAACATTCATCTTTTCAAAAACACTAAGAAAAACGTGAAGCTTCATTTTCGATAAAACACCGAAATATCCATGCAGCTTATGATGTATTTCTCTGTATTTTAGGTATAGATCTGTTGGAGGCTCCTAATTTCTGGCTGTACGACCGTTACTAAGAGTTTCTACGCGTCTAACTGCTCCGCACGCATTGGGCTGTTCTAGCTAATAATTTTGCTACTTTCATGGAATAGGCTAATGCCTAAGTACGTCTATAAGAAACCAATAAAATTGCTACTTCAAATAAACATGTTCGAATTAAGTAACCATCCTTAAGGGTTGAAACTAAGGGCGAGACCTATTTATTCCGACCCCTCTTTATGCACAATTAGATGACGCGACACGAACGCCAAACTATGACAATTATCTTTTTTATGAGGCTTTTCCAGAAGCTCCAGATGCTGATGTGTGTTCTGATTATTTGTAAAAACGCGAAGGTTACAATTTCACTTCTGTTAATTTGGATTTAAGAAAATGTTAATAAAACGAAGCCTCGGCTAAACAAGTACATCATCTTCCTTTGGTTCTATCTTCTGTTGTCCCGATCTCTAATTTTTTGTCTATTTTAGACTCTCCAGGCCAATATCTAACAGAAAAATTCGTTTTCCCAAAATCATTAGGAAACCTTCATTATCATGCCTATTTTATACCAGGACATTGAAAATGAAAAATGAATTTCGGGAAAAATGTAATGCAAAACTCGTAATAGTATATTTCATTAGGAGTCCGGAAAGCAGGCTTTTTCCGTGCGCGCGTGGCAAATTCCCGTGTGAGGCGTAGTAATTTTTGTGGCACTTCAAATGTATTTGTTTCGTTGTTTGATTTTGTATACAGAGTCTAATAGTCATTTGTATGTAGTTTGCTAAGTTGGATAAACACTTCTTCAGTACCAAATGAATGCTTATTAAATTTACTACATGTTTAGCTATATACTACTTTAAGAAAAACTGGACTGTTTTCACGCTACCAGATCCGGACAGGTGGTAATTTTTAAAAACATAGTTTTTCACTCATCTTTTTCGTAAATTTTCCTCTTGTATATATATCCTGGTCCGTTCATTTTAGTTAAAACCTGTACAGTAGTAACCTCCCTGCAGTCCGAACAGTAAAAAATACAAAATAACTTTCCCTCCTCTCCTCATAGTAGTCGGTCATCATATCTATCTGCGCTGATATAGTGGTGTGTCCATGCTCTTATTAATTTATTATTATTACTGTGTTAACTGCAGGGGGGTTTTGTTTCTCTAGGTTGAAATAATGCCGACGATGAGAGCGGGCCACCCTGTAGCTGAAAAGTTACGTGCTGTAAACGTAATTTAGGTTTAGCATTATAGATTTCAGACGTCCCATCCTGTACTATGTTTTAATTTATTTCTTTAGGACCTATGAGACTCTTTGTCAAATGAATGGACATTTCAGGATTTTATTTGATAGTCACTGTAATGTTTAGTTTTTTTATTGTAAATTGTGAATCAGTAATTTTAATGATGTAAGAAGAAAGTAAGAAGAAGTCTTATATGGACAAATCTGTTGTGTAAAAGCTGTTAACGGACAAATTAATTGGACAGGTTTGGTAAAAGGGCACCTGCATTGATAAGCGCGGCATTACTTTGGCGACGTAGTTGGTTATTCGTTTCTTCATCGGCCATTAATGAGGCGGAAAAAGAGAGTGGAGGGGGGATTGCTTAAATAAGTGGAGCAAATTAACGACGCGGTTAAGTTAATAGACGTAGTCAGCCTGTTTACGTCAAATTTAAGTTCTGGCAAGTAGTCGTCACCGTGTAGAAAGATTTTTAATGTAGAAAAGTCTGTCGTCCATTATATGAAAGTGTTACGTTGATTTACAATTGTTGCAAGTACCCGTTCAGCCAATTCCCATTCACAATTTAGTCGGACCAGTCGTTGGAAGATTTAATTACAAGCGTCAAATAAAAATGTGAATTTGTTAAAGCTCTAAAGGCGTATTTATGCGCACTAATAATAATTTATTAGAATAAGTAATAAATAATAAGCAATAATAATAAAACTTAAAAGTAAAGGTTTAGGTCACAGAATTAAATAATAAGTAATAATAGTAATTTGGGAAATTTTAACTTAAATCTTATCACTGCGTATTACGATACCGGACAGAAACGAACTGTTCCAAATGTATTGAATATAGCGCAGTATAATACAGCAAAATGGAAATACGATTTATTGATTAACTCAATCTGACATTATATTATTTATTTCTATTTTTCAAAGCCAACCTATCTACAACACTCCGCCTCAATTCCTATCAATAATTTTCGATTAGGAATTGCAAGTTCAAATCATGATCACAATGTTCCAAAATAATTAATTTAAACGAATCAAATTTAGTTCATTTCGCAAAAACTCAAACGTCTTCTTTGGTAAACCTTTTGTCATGATGTCAGCTAATTGTTCATTTGTTGAAATGTACCTAACCTCAAGAATTCCTTGATGTATAAGATTACGAACAAAATTGAATTTCACATCAATATGTTTTGTCCGCTGCATTTCCTTTTCCTGCGATGATATCACAATTGCACACTGATTATCTTCATTCAGTATTATTGGTTCGTCAGGTGTCTCTCCAATTTCCATTAACAATCCACGCACCCACATGATTTCACATGCCGCTAAGCATAATGACACATATTCAGCTTCGGTAGATGATAAAGCAACACATGTCTGCTTACGTGTCATCCAAACCACAGTGGCCCCAAATACTTTTATCACGTTCCCAGAAACTGATTTTCGATCGTTGATATCGCCTGCCCAATCAGCATCCGCATATCCAATCAATGCAACCGAATTCTCCTTGTAACGATATTCCAACTTCAAATCAATTGCTCCCTTGATATATCGGAGGATTCGTTTAGCCGCCCTCCAATGATCCTTAGTCGCACATGATTGAAATTGACTCAAATAATTCACTGCCGCGGATAAGTCTGGTCTAGTTGTACAAGCTGCATACATCAAGCATCCAATCAATTCACGGTACGGTTTATCTGTAAGTTTGCTCCCCGAATCATTCCCCAATTTTAATTGACATTCTATGGGAGTTGAAATTGAATTGCAATCAGTCATTCCAAATCGTTGCAATACATCTTCCAGATAGCCACGTTGATTTATCCTCAAAATCCCATGTTCCCGTTCACGTTCGATGTTAATGCCAAGAAAACTTCTCGTTTCACCCATGTCATGCATTTCGAATTCCTTGGATACCATCTGTTTAATTTTTATGATCTCTTCGATATCTTCTCCCAACAAAATGAGATCATCCACATATAATAACAGATACACCACTTTTTCCTTATTGATACGAGAATACAAACAGTGATCATATTCTGATCGAATAAATCCATTCTCAAGTATGAAATTATGAAATCGCTCATTCCACACACGGGAGGCTTGTTTCAAACCGTATAATGATTTGTTCAATTTACATACAAAATCGCCCTGCATGAAACCATCCGGCTGTTCCATGTAAATGTCCTCCTCGAGTTTTCCATTTAAGAATGCCGTTTTTACATCCATTTGATGAATCTCTAAATCACGCTCCACAGCAAGAGCCAGCATTATCCTTAATGTAGCAATTCTTGCAACTGGTGAATATGTTTCATGAAAATCAAGTCCCTTACGTTGAGTGAATCCACGAGCAACCAGTCGCGCTTTGTACGACATCAACTTGCTCTCATCATTCCGCTTTCGAGAAAATACCCATTTGCAAGTGACAACAGAACGATTCATCGGACGCTCAACTAACTTCCAAGTATCATTTCGCTTGTGTGAGCTCATCTCATCATGAACCGCTTTCATCCATTGTGCCGCATCATCTCTCTTCGCAATCTCACCAAATGACTGTGGAACGTTGTCAACATATGCCATAGCATTTATTGCAAAATCTAATGTGTCAGTACTTAATGCAAATGCAGAGAAATACTCCTCATCACTATGACTCTTCGGTTTTTCCAAATCAATATAATTTCCATATCGTTTCGGAGGTTGACGCTTTCTTTGAGGTCGCGATGTTATATTTAGTGGTTGATCCTTCATTCCGGTGGGTTGATCATCATCTCGTACGACATCCGTCGCTACTCCGCCTGGATTAATTACTTCTGATCGACTATGATCTCTCACAACATCCACTTCATCGCTATCCTCAAGATCCTCCGCCTCGTCAACATCATCCATAATTGACTCTATCTCAAAGAAAACCGCCGGAGAATTTCGCTGTGATTCATCAAACACAACGTCTCGTCTTATTACGATATTTTTCTTCAATGGGTCCCACAATCGATAGGCCATTCACGCCGTATCCAACCATTATCATTTTCTGTGATTTCGAATCCAATTTCATTCGTAATTGGTTCGGAACATGTGCATATGCTATTGATCCAAAAACACGAAGCCTTGACATATTTGGTTTCTTGCCTGTCCAAAGCTCCACCGGTGTTGTATTGGAAACTATTGCACGTGACGGACTCCGATTCGTTAGATATGCTGCACAATAAACAGCCTCGCCCCAAAATGTCTTATCCATTTTAGTATCAGCAATCATCGAACGTGCTTTCTCTAGCAGGGTTCGGTTCATGCGTTCAGCCACACCATTGTGTTCAGGTGTGTATGGTTCGGTATATTGGATTTGAATCCCGGCATCATTACAAATCTGTTTAAATTGATTTGATTTGTATTCACCACCATTATCACAGCGTATTTTTGCAATCTTCTTTCCAGTGTGGGTCTCAGCGAACGCTTTATACCTCTGAAACATTTGCAAAACATCAGATTTATATTTAACCAGATATACGACCGTAAAATGTGTGTAATCATCAACGAATGTTACCAAAAACCGTTGTTCATCCCATGTGACAGGTGTCACTGGTCCACACACATCNCATGAGTGATACTACAAGCATTCGATCGTTTGTTTCAGCACCACACGCCTTCAATTCACGCACTAATTTGTCGAATGCTAAGAAATGTGTGATTAATTTATCAGATTCTGCACAACGCATTGTTAACATGCGCTTTCTGACACCAATTTCAGTTGCCACACTTGCCCGTTCAAAAATTGTTTTTAACGATTGGATCATCGAAAATGCCGTCGGTCTATCTTTCAAATATTCTAAATGCGAATCCGCAACACGTCTAGTGATGTGGGTCTTGCAGATTCTGTCTTCCTTTAGAATGATTTCAACCTTTTCACCGGTCACCTTGCTCGCCTCCATAGCATCTTCTTCCAGCCATCGTGCGACGCCCTTTTCTTCTAAAGTAATTTTCAAACGAAAATACCAATTGTCGAACTCACGACCCTCAAATTGTTTGAATACAAACTTTTCCTCATCAACCATTTCTATTTATGTTGAAATTTATTTCCGAAATTGCACAATTGGTCCAACTAAACTCTTTCGTTTCGCACCAATTCACACGCGATAGCCCATAACCTATTGAATATAGCGCAGCATAATACAGCAAAATGGAAATACGATTTATTGATTAACTCAATCTGACATTATTTTATTTATTTCTATTTTTCAAAGTCAACCTATCTCCAAACAATTGACATCTGTCAAGACTAGTATAAATGGTGGAAAAAGATACTATTACTTAATTATTATTGCTTATTATTTATTACTGATCCTTATTACTTATATCTGAGCATAAATACGCCTTCAGTTTCATTTCTTGAGATCTATTGAATTCATTTATTTGTTTGGTATGTCCGTTCTGTAAGCGGGTTGTGTACAGAAAAGCTTTATGTGCGCCTTATAATTTTTAACACAGGTTTTTTTAAAAATTTTTAGGATGGATGAAAATTGCGTAATATGTGAATTACCTCCTGGTAGTGAAACTGTAAGCCGTGACTGAAAAGGGAGTGTTGAGTGTTAATTTGACCAGGAAACACAATGTTTTCCGCGGAAGATTACGCTAATGCCGCCTACACTTTTAGCGAGTCTCTTATCCCAAAGAAAAGAAGGGGTACAAATAGTATCATGAGGAAAATAGTACCTATCCATTTTCCTTTAAATCATTCCGCCGTTCGTCCGCGGCAAGGATTGCGTACTTATTTCACTAGAAATTATTGGATCAAAGAGTCCCGCGAAATTTACTGACTAACTTGGGATTCAGTGCGAGTTACCACCATTCTGAAAATAGCATATCCTCCATTTACCATCACGATATCTGAAAATACTTTTTGCCAATATTTTATAATCCTGATTTTAATATTGCTACTCCGGACGGACGTAACTCATTCCATAGCTTGGGGCACTAAGTGTGCTACACCTGCATAAGGTTTACCAAAATCAGATGAAATAGAACCAATAAAATCCCCTCGTACTATTTTAGAAGTGGGAAAATTTCGCGTTCTCAAACTGGAGTCTTACGAAAATGTCACTTAAAAATGGGTTGAAGAAAGTGTTTATCTTGCACCCCATAACTGATGGCCATTCACTGTCTCGAGGACACACTGTAGATGTGTGCTAAACACTTTTCAGAGGAGGGCAGATTTTCGAATGGAAGAGTTTCATGGAATTGGTATGCAAGGAAATCAACTGAAATCAAACTGCAAGATTAAACCCCTTCCCTTTCATAAATCCCTTCCCCACCCCTCCCATTGCTGATTAAATGTTAGATATGCTTCAGAAGATGCCACTCGTCTTGGATTAACGACTTGCTTTGTAACAATCGATCAGCCGCTCTACCTGAAATCTCGGGAAACTGTTGCGGCTAATGCTCTCGAGTTCAACAATGCTATTGCCTTTCTAGGGGTGTTTTGGGCACACAATGGCAGAAAATAGACTGAAGGAGCTCTTTTGGACAAAATGTTAAGGAGCAATGCTTATAGCTGAACCGTCAGAGGTGATTTACTTGTACAAGCAGCACTAGAACAAATTATTCTCGAAAGTGCCACATTCTCTTCTGCAGACAAGCAAGTTATTGTGGGTTCCAGTCTAACGAAGAATGGTCCCCTGAAATATATAATTATATAGCACCCTTGTCGTGCGCCCAACAAATGTTTCAATATTTTCTCGCTAGTGGCCATTTTCCACCTTCACCTCTATGTAGAGGTAATACTGACCCAAGTGATCGCCATACTTTTGAGCAGTATATTGGTTTTGGGAACTTTCGTGTGATAGAACTGAAAATCGATGGGCCGGGTTGTGTTCTGGCATTACCATCGAGCAGGCATTGATGTGTGACATGAAAAGCAAAGGAGGACTGATACGAGGGCGAAGTTTGACTGACTCTACGTTGGCAAAATGGATTGCAGGTGCTGGAATTGCAGGTTCAATCTCTTCGTGTCTTGAAATTTTTGTGGGTGCCCACCAGGGTGCCCACAGTGTGAGCAGTGAAGAACTTGCGTGAATCGTACATCGAAGAAGATACCGAGAACAGAGCATAGCTGGCTGCTTGATTAGCGAACAGCCCTCCTTTTGCCAAACGTGACCACGCCAAACCTCTTTTGGTTAGAGTTATATGTAGCAGTAATATTAATCGATAGTAAGTCATGGAAATTATATCCTGTACAATCCGAACCTTCCTAAGGATGAACTTTGCCGACATGAAGTAATCTAAGAAAAATACTGTTGTCCCTCTGTCTATTATGTGAAAATTCATAATGAAGCAGTTGTAGTTGTAGATGCGTCCGTAATTTTTAAAACAACCTTAGCAAGAGAAGTGATGTGGATGTTGTAGACCTGTTGAAGTTCGAGTGATCTCCATACCCCACTCTGCTCCATATGAAGCTTTCCTTTTGTGCATGGATTCAGTGAACTTCAAAATATCTGCACTGTAGTGGAAGATCCTTCACAGAGTCAAGTGGAATCTTAGGACCACTTTCTTATGTTTCAATCACTGTTCGTCCAATTGTGCAGTGGTGTTCTATGGGTACGAGGGCATGACTTCCATAAAACGTAAAAAGGGATTATTGAAGGGTTATTGTGGATATTGAAAAGACCACTTCTCCAGAATGGCAGTTATTGGTGAAGACATAGATCTTCTCATCCCGCTAGTGGCTCGGACACCATCAAACGCAAATAGGTACCCGTTTAATTAAACCAGGTAGAGGTAACACTGACACGAAGACGTATTCAACCCTGCAACCTCAAGACAACCTCTCTTACTGCTCATCCATGGTCTTCATCCACTTTTATTGTCACCTTTGGGAAAAGCACAAACTCTATCCTGAAGAGTTTTCAAAAACTACCAGATGAGACCAAGGCAATAGCGGGGGTATTCTACAATCCTTCATCCACCAATCAGCAAGTGCCCTAAGCAGGAGAAGCTGCTGCCCAGATTTGTAAAGAAATGAAGACACCGAATTGTTCAAAGTATTATTTATTTCAATTGGGAAATCAATATTTTTCGATCTTCTTAAAAGTCCAGTAAGTTGCGACGTGTTCAATATAAATTAACATATGATATAATATAATGCTTGTAGGGAATTTAATTCTGTACAGAAAGACATGAGTGGTAAACAAATTTTTTGGAAATTACCACCCTTCCAGAGCTGGTAGCTCGAAAACGGTCCAGTTTTTTGTAAAGATGGGGTGAATTTAATAAGATATTATTTTGTAACTTTTTCACTACAGCCCATTGTTTTCGAGATATAAGCGAAAAACTGAAAAATTGATCATTTAAAGCCCCCCTCACCCCAACGGCACTTAGATTTTGAGGGAAAATTGGAACTAGTAGGTACTTTTATTTCCTCTGTCTTTCTTATTTTGACTGAACTAGGTAATACCTTGTCAGATCTACCAGAAGGGGCCGCAATTTTCTAAAATTTTGGGACGATACTTCTGAGATCAGCGTCAAAATTTGGCAAGTCCTTAGTTTGACAAACCCATTTTTGGCATTGGACGTGGTTATTGAACATGTTCTCCTACACGTACCTACGTTAATGTGAACTAGCAACGTTAAAACTGTACCCTATGAGACACACGTAAACAAATTTACGTTATATTTACGTAAAAGCCATCTATCAAGACAAAAGAAAAAACAGCGGAGTAGCAAAGGGGAAGTACAGTACAGAAGCACAAAGGAGGTTAGAAAACGAAACGTCCTTTCATTTACAGTCACAGATCGCGCTAATTAAACTCATCCTAACGCTGCTAAAAATGAAAGGACGCATTAGCGTAGTGCTATTGAAAGTCTTACCCAGAAATTGCGGCTATACGTCCGCTTTGTGTATTAAAGGTGTAAAGAAAAAGAAAGGATTACATTAGAAAGCGTGATTTGAAAACTGAGCAAGCACAATTTGATGATCTTGTAAAGAATGTTGATAAGGAAAATTAGTGTGAACGTATGACCTAATTGACAAAACAAAGGGATGGAAGAGTGATTTGGTAAAGAAAAAGAGCGCTTACGTCGATGCTTTTTATCTCCCGAGAAGCTCATCGTGCGACCCAGCTCTCCTTTCACCGCCTTTAGTGACCTCAGTATTTCTTCGGGATCTCTCAACATCCTTGTGCAACTGCTTCTACGGCGGTCTCGAGAGTAGGAGCTGGGCGGCGGTACCGCCGGCAAATCTGCTTCGGCAGGATCCTGTCCGGACTGAAACGAAGAACGTCGTGAGCCAGGCAGCGACTTTGAAAAGTCTTTGCCAAGTTGATAAACTTCCACTTCTAATTGCTCAGATTGGGAGGAGCCCCTACGCGATCCCCAGGCATGATCGGGATGCAATAAACTGGCGCACTCGCCGATTGAGTCAAGATCGTCGGAGGCGCTTCTTTGCGAAATAAAGTCGTTACGACGACATAGGCCAGCAATGGAACCTCGAGGCGAATTATGTGGCGATTTTCCCCGCATCTGCCGCGGATCTTCAAGCCTGCACCAGACCGCCCGATCGTCCAAAAACGCCTTTTGTAAGTCTACGCAGCATTCGCCTAAAAATGTTTGTTCATTCTGAGGGATTAAGTCCCAAAGCGTCACGTCTAGCGTGCGTTCCATGAGTTCGTCCCCTGGAACACCCGGGAAACTGAGGTTTGCGTTCCAAATTGGATTTTGGCTGGCAGGCGCAACTTCTGTTTGTACGCAATGTTGATCGTCACTGAAATGTGACAGTTAAATTGAATGTATCGCAGGTTGCAGGGAGGGATTACGTCAAAGGCATAAGGCACAATCTTGCGTACGCTTCGGGTTGAGAACCGTAGCCTAGGCTCTCGTCTCTTGGTGCCAAATCGTCCGCGGCTAAAACCGCGACAACCAATTCACGCCTCTCGTCATGGTACCAAACTTGGATTTGAACTCGACCAGACACTTGTCGTTCTTTGGCCAGCTGTTCCTGTAAAATACCTCGATTAGAAATACAGGCGAGAATATCTGATTACACAGACTGAAAGGGCAGAAATAAACATGCAACTACTAGAAGTACATGCACAAGTGAGAGCACTAAAAAGAAAGAACAGAAATTCGTGCCAGTTGGGACAGAGTGAGCAAAATATCGCGTACCTATTACAGTAATATCCAGCGTAGGGAGCTAACAACAACGAAAAGGGAGAGGAGTTGCTCAAAACTCGGGCGTCACTTAAATCACTTTAATAAGCTCTAATTACAAATGGACACCTGTCCCATCTGACACAAACAATTTATCACTACACACACTTATTGAGAAAAAGTTTTTAACATTTATATAACAGATTCAGACGTAGGTATCATCCAAAATAATCACCTCCAGGGCGCTCGCTCATTTTGGATCACACTGGCCAATTTTACAATTTTACGCTATCGTTACATTTTAGAAATTTATATTTACAACATCAAAAACAGTAACTATCCGCATAACTCAACAGAACACATACAGGTACACATAAAAAACAAAATTACAGTCATCGACATCAACTAACAATGGTTTAGGTTGCGTTAAGCAACTGATTTTTTACTCTCTACCACGTTATCTACGGTTTGTTCTCGCTATACTGAGCAGATTAAGACGCTTAGTTGCTAAGACAATGATTTAGTTGCAAGTAAAAAATTTTAGATTCAGTTTTATCCATAATGAGTTATACGTACATATTTTGTAGTTTTATTTATAGAGGGAAAAATTCGCTTTATGGCCGCAGTATCAATTACTATCTCTTCCCTTCTTAGAAATGTTTGCTAGAAACCGAGCTTTTGGTCATCGTGAATTCATTAATATTAGAATCCTTGTCGTTTTCTTCAAGAGGTAAACATTAAAATGGTGTAAACATGGTCCATTCTGTAGCACCCCATATTGCTACTACTAAGGTAAATTTTTAAGAGTAGGGTGCTTTACCCTCTGTTTTGGAACAACTTTAAAACCTGTTTCTTAATTTCCGTGTTACACATAGTTTGTCCTAGTGAGCCGATAACTTTGTATCAGGAAGTTCAACTCACTCCTCATACTTGGAATCATTTGAAACTTATAGCATAGCTTTTGTTTATGTTCTTAGTACTCTCGCATGAACAAATGAAAATTTATACATCGCCATTTTGAGTAAAGTTTACGAAGTGATTAAGAGATGAGTTGGTTTTGGAGAACATTCGCGGCGATCAATACGATCCTATCTATATAAAAGAAGCATTCGCGTTTTGAATTTCGAAGCGACCAGTACGGCCCTCGAGAGAGATTATGAGAGCGATTATGGACATGGTATGAGATCTGACAAACATTTTAAGGTCTCTTTTCAAAAAAGTTAAATTGTTTTGTGAAGAAAGTCAATTTCTCTGTGGTGGAAGTGCTAGAAATATTATCTTTGGATAATAGAAGTTTCACCTTTGGTGTTAAAAGTGCGCAATACAATTTGGTTAAATCCGTGTTCTAATTAGGGGATTTTTTGTACGAGGAAATATTATTTTAAATCAACGAAAAATAACAATTCGAGTGCTACGATCGAATATATAAACTTAATCCGGCGGAGCGGTCATATCTTCTCAAAAACGCGCGGTAAAGACGACAATTATTCAGCTTTGAAAGAAGAATAAGCTCATTGTCTCAGCGCGTTCAGTTACGGTAAAGAATTTCAACATGAAACTTATCATATTTCGCTAAGAAAGATTTTTGCATTGCATTACGACAATTAAGTTATACGATCACTAGGGTTATCTGTGAAATGTATGACTTTATTCAGTAAATTCTGTGCTAGTTAAAAAGTTTCAACGAGTAATGAAAGTTTTCTGGTCAGTAAGAACGATAACAACCCCCAACGATCCGTTATTTTTGAAATTTTCCCCGGAAGCTACAAATTTTAATAAGATTTAAAGACAGCAACCGTTCTCCACCTTCCACCCACCCGACGTCTGATAATCGTAAGGAGTTTTCCACTGTGCAACCAAAACCGTCCATCCGGAATCCGACGGCAGAGAGAATGAAAAATTTCACTTAATAACGTATAAATTTTGAGTGTTTTACCCGATCACAGATCACAATCAGCAATGGTGTAATAGTTATTTACATAAAAATTAAGAAAATGACGAGGAAAATGATTCATTGCTCATTTTATACCTACTGACTGTAATGTATCGGGTGATCAAAAAGAACTGCAGACAGTGTAAAATGGGCGCTTTAAGTTTTTAATATTTTTTACTTAAGGAATTGGCAAACATGTTTAGAAGGTAGTTTATTTATGTATTAGTGATTAAATTGATCCACCACTGCTTTTACATAAATGACATTTGATATGTTATCAACGTTATAACTGTTTAGTTTTACGGAAAATTCAAATTGTCCGCACTACTTTTCGATCACCTGGTATTGTATTTTACACGAAATCGTCTTTTTTGATACAAAATTACACTTTTCATATAGAAACTTTGATTAATTTAGAAAATATTAGACAATCAGCCCTGTGATGTATCAGAAACGTCAAACTTAACGTGTACGTTATCTGCCAAATAACGTTATTTTACGTTATTTAAGGGCATATTCTGTATATTGTCGTTAACAAACGATATCGTAAAGGTAACAATTATTTCATCTTGAACGACAGCTATATTCAGTATCCCTGTTATATGTTATATGTCAGAGATAATAGAGAAAGTCGTTGCTGAACGATAACCGCTGTGTGACGACCTCGTTACGCGTTAGAGAGTAGGCCCCTTAGTATGGGAAAGATAACGTTTTCTACAGAAAACCTGCACGTTTAATTTAACGTGGGTGATACATCACAGGGCTGACTAACAATGTGACCAATGCGGTCTTAGTCCAATGGCAAGTACTTTGCCTTATATGATTGGATTCCTCAAGAAACAAGGGATGTTTAGAGGGCAGTCTCATCCCTAAATGATGGAAGTATAATAGCACGTTCGCGTGTTCTCCATAAAAGCTCATGTTAAATTGGGCGATTTTCAAATGCATACATTCCAACGAGAGGTCATTTTAACGTAGATGTTTTGCATTTTTATCCCATTAAAACATGCGGAAGAATGCAGTCAAGGTTTCAGTCGAGGCTTGATTCTCGTTGGGTCCGTTTCGGGTTTTTAACTCGGCGAGTGCGTAAGTAAAAATTAGGTCGGATATATAGATTCTTCGCCAAACTTTCGAAACAAAACTGTGTTTGATACAAAGCCGTATAATCGAAGGATAAGAAACAATTGTCACCCGCGTTAAGTTAGTTACCAAATTTTAAGGGAAAACTGTGCCGCCATTTCAACGAAATTATTTTCGTGGGTGCATTTTCAATTTATTGTGAGTTGCAATTATGAGCAAAACCAATAAGTAGGGACTTATGCAAAAAGGGAATTTCGTGGTGGAGCGGAATCGACATACCGACTGATTTTTTGTTGTTGCTTTGTCCGGGATCATAGCACATTCGACCACGTTAATTTAATCATTTAGATAGCAAGAAACATTATTACATATAAACAGGGATTGAAAAGGGGCACGCGCTTCTCTCCAAGGGATCTACAATGGCATTTTATATGACGATACAGAACACAACCTTGCGTAATATGACGTTTATATAGCTGGGGAATATATCCAACCGTTAATATGGTGTGAATACGTTACTTTCTTCATACGTTCGCGAAAAGTTTTGGTTCGTTGCATTATTGGCGCTATAGGATCGTGTTTAAATAAATTGTTACCACGGAAGCATTGTGGATAAAGTACAGTACGTTCCATTGCGTTAAACGTGGATTGGCTACGTACGATACAAAAAAAAGTTTATTAATCAAAATTGTGCACCTCTCTTGTGTAATAGATTCTGAATAAAACGGTAACCGGTACAAAATTTAAAGACAATTAATCCACGCTGTTGCTGGCTGTTTAAACCCTAAGTTATAAGGATGATTTTCCTAGTGCGAAAAATTCCAGTAAATAAACAAAGTTTAACTATGAAATTTCGAGATTGTATTGTAGAAGACGTTCCACCATCCAGCATCCTTTCAAAAGGAGAAAATTGAATATAATCTAGAGAAAATTTCGACGCATAGATAAATGTCAATTATTCGCATTGCGTCAAAATAGGAGTTGATCGTTTTGGGAATTTTGTATAAAAACAGTCAGTTTAATATTCCTAAAGAGGTCGACCCACGGGAGTTTATTCCCTGTTTGTATATTTTTTGTTAATGAACAGTGAACTGAATATTTTAATTTTTTTTCTCATTAATTGTGTAGTTGAATTTTAAGTTCATCCAAACCATTCCTTTGTGTGGGTTAAAATTTTATTTAGCATTACGAGGCGTATAAACTCGATTTTTGAATCAAAAGATCTACCGGGTGTTGGGGTAATTACATACAGTAAAAAATCTCAATAATTAATTAGATTCAAAACGTGATCACGAGATAGGGTTTGAAATTTTAATAAATTAATGAATTATATTAATATTTTAAATCACGGAAAATGTAAATAAAAGTGGAACGATTTTATTTTCATTAATATATCCAAGCAATCCAATCTACAGAGTGATCAAACCAGCGCATCAGATTTTAATCATCAAATTAGAAGTGGAAACAAAAAAGCAACCTTCTGCGTAATTAAAAGTTTACATATTACTGAACTAGCCGTGGAATTAATTATTTCATTACAAGAAATTAATTGTTATTAGTTATCAGAGGATAAAAATTTTATGCAAGTGTGGCTTTCAACGCCTGTAAATGTAACTAAACTGTTACAAGAGCCACTCTTAATAAGTCATTTGATATTGAGGCTGTAAAATCGCGAAACACGTCAACTTTATTTTTCAGGAGAGGAGGAGGGGGGGATACTTCTATCAAACCCATGCCAGCGTAATTAATTGCAAAACGCGTCCATTCCAGGAGTTGTAGAATCAAGATTTATATATCATTTGGGCTTCGTTAGGGGTGAAGATGAATAACCGCTTGAAAAGTACCTTCTCTTTGTAGCTCTGTCAATATTCTGAATAGACAAACCTGTACGACTATACAATGGCAACCGCACAGCGAATGAAACATTCTCCATCAGTTAACGCATACGATGGAAAGGGCCTTTGACGTTGTGGATTTATTATACTCTCCACAAGCATTATAATTATGAAACCAATACTCCAAACTCACCAAATTAAAGCGAATTTTTCCCTTCGCATCATTACTTTTAATTTATTTATTACAGGGTAGTAACCTTGCATGAACTTGAAATGTCACATGAAACACGACTCAAAAAAAGTGGTCTTCCTGTTCAAACGAAATCTTAATGGTCCCTTTGCAACACATACCTTTAACAAAGCTATAAGGGTTATAATATTCGTTGCAATGAACCTAATTAAATTACATCCATTAGAACTTTGGTAATTTCAAAAATATAAAAGCGTTCGAAAGGGAAGACGAGATTATGTACAATTAATGCAACCCTATTTCGGAGAATGTTCATTAGCTTTTGATTTATTTACATTTGGCGAGACGTGTCCCGGTTTGAAACATAATCTCACCTCTGTTTAATTACTTTGAAGCATCCAAAATTGCTTATTCCTGTTAAGAGGTAAATATGTGAATAGAGTTGACGTAAACCCAAATCAAGATATAGACTTAATTCATATATTTAAAATGAGTATCAACAATGTATCGATCTTAACGTCTATGTGACTTTCGCCATTTTATGATTGTTTTTTAGATGTATATATAGATATGATAGATAGGTCACTATTGTCGATGTTATGATGAAAGCCATAGTATCACCGATTTTAAATATGATATGTATTCAAAGTTACAATAAAATGGACGTGCATTACGCTGATAAAAACATTACAAACCCTGTCTCTGCTCAATGCACCTACTCATTTGTAAAGTGATCAAAAAAGAATTGCGATTGAATAGTGGTCAATCATCACATTATTATAGATAGTTTAGATACAAAATATACTGTAATTTTCATTGAAAAGGTAAAAAATATACAATAAAGAGATTCTGCTCAGATTACTATTCACTCTAATCATTGAATAAAAACACTATTTTTATTCAATGCTCTAATGCATCTATCTAGTTGGGAAGCCACAAATTTGTTTGCATACTTAATGTAGGTACAAGGCGATTTGACCGTGAGTAATCAATAATTAAATCCCCTTTTACATACACGATCTGAATGCGACGTATTCCATAGAACTAACTTAAATGTTTAACCAATACTGGAATACATTTAACAAAACTAAATCTTTATACCGGAGTCTTTGGCAATTTTCTCCTTGTCGGTGACGATGGCCCTCCTGCGTCTGCGTCTGAAAAAGAAGAAAAGCGTCATAAGATACAAATGTTGTTATTACAAACCTCTGAATTAAAAACTGCCACTTTTTGGATTTTGTGCAAAATTGTAGTACCATTAATTTTGGTTAGAAAAAGCACTACCATGTCCCTCACTAAAAAAGCGTGCTTTTAGAGCAGATAACCGGTTTTAATATCAGGTGAGTAAGTAATACAATGCATATCTATGATTGTTTTAAATGTATATATTACATATAGATATGATAGGTAGGTCTCTATTGTCGATGTTATGATGAAAGCTGAGCTATAAGTATAAGCAAAGAGTACGAGTATACCTACGTACTCTTTCGTATAAGGTACATAAATATTGAAGAAAAAAAAATAAGAGCAGTACCTTCTAAATAAATCATTATCACCAAAAAGACCGTGTTGGAGATTCTTCACCGATTTCTTCACATCAACCAAGTACCTACCTCCTGGTTTAAGCCATGTTGAAACGGGTAGTCAGGGCTACTTTTTTTTGTGTAACAAGTGGTTTTCTCCTATTTCGACCTCGCTGAATCTGATTATGTCTATTGCCAAGTCTTAAAATGGATCAGAAGGGAGATATTCGAGATGGCGTCCAATATCCCGGACTACCCTGGCGTATTCTCCGTCTAAAATGCCCGATTTTTACAGTTCAACGGTCTGAACCGACGATTTTTCGATGGAAGGGGTCAAAATTTAGGCCCGAAGTGAAAAACTGCGATTTTTCGACGGTCACCAGATGCAAGGTTTTCAAGGTGGCAGCTTTTGTGGGTGTCGATACGCTGGCTGACATAACAAAATGTGTAACATACTTTAATTAAGTGTATGCTTCATTTGCTTCTTCTACGGTAAGTCTTCCTGAAATCTTGATTTTTCCTATTTAGGTTATTTAAATATGTTGTCACTTGACTGTATAATGTATACCGGGTTGAGCCTAGCGCGACGCAGCATAGGGATTTCAATGGTAATTTCTATATAGTCAATTACTAGCTCCCCTAATTATTTTAAAGCAAAAGTCTAAATACGTTTTTTTAGAGAAAAAAATACTGCATCTGTTCATACTATTAGTTATAATTTTCCGTTTTTCAAAACCGTAGAAAACGGCAAAATAGAAAATTACATTTTATCAGTGACGCTTTGGAATCTTTTAACAAACTACAAGCGCATAGGTCCGTGAAGTTGCTCCTGGAAGTTGAACCAATTGTGTCAATTTACAATGTACCTGTTAGTTTTTAGTTGGTTTTCATTAGTTCTGGCAAGAATGACGTTAGTTTCTCTTTGGTACTAATGTTATCCCAAAATCAAAATTGTCCGGGCGTGCTTCATATTTTCCGCGACATGTGCTAGAATTGTTAGTTCAGAGGTAATTTTGGATAAAGATTCGTTAGTTTCTGTAAGTTTTGATTAAACCGTCGTTTGTTTTGCCTTATTTCTTGTAAAAAAAAATTTTTAATTTGTCCGGGAATACTTCACACTTCACTGGCAATTAGTTGAATTGTTAGTTTAAACACCATTTTCGATTGAATGGTGTTATTTTCTATAAGTTTTCATAAAATCGTCGTTTGTTTTCCCTTAAATAATTGATTAATCGACCAATTTATTAGAGAGTTGTTGATATATCCGTCCATCAAAAGTCATTTGCAATTAGAGCTTGCTAGGTAAGACATGGCACTCATTTACAAGATATTGTTTACACTTAGCTAATTGTTGAGTGTATGAGTAATGAGTTGATCTACAGTATCCAATAAAAATGTATAATTATCGTAAGCTTTTTTTTGACGTCATATGTAGACCCTCTCGCCCCTAACCAACACATAGATTTCGACACGTTTTGTACAAACGCTCCTTATTTTGTCACCAAGGAAAATTGAGTATATCTCCATTTCTAGATGGTTGATAGATGGATGTACGGGCATCATAATTACAAATTGAAACTCAGGGTAGAGCCTTCGCTACCTAATAGAGGCAAATAATCCACAATAAACATAATGAGTGAGTTTACACAACGTCAAACAATGTAAACTAACAAAACACGCAATATGAGGCTAGGATGGATGCTCTTCTTACCGATACTTGCCTAATTGCTCGCCAACTATAGGTCTTCCGTTGGGCAAATCGTTGAAGACTTCCCATTGTCCGTTTTTTGGTACGTCTTGTGAATGCTACGTAATGACCTGGTAGGTAGGCAACGATTCCGGAAAGAATGTAATTTTTCCCAAGAATTTAATATCGATTTTTGCAGTGCGATTTTTGCAGTGCAACAAAACCTTCTTTTAAGAGAATATTCATATTGCTTTCCAAAACTACCATTTCTTCTCTGGTATCATGTATTTTACATTCGGGTCTAGTACATCTTGTTTCCATTGTTACACTAGGACATCCTTGGGGCAATTTCCGAAGTAGAGTAGCGACATTTTCCCAACTACCATTGAAATCACTTTCTACTGTTGCAGCTGATGCGGTTAAATGTGGAGAACTCTTACTATTGCATGAGATAAAGAATCGAAAGGGCATATTTTGACAATACAACATTTTTATACAAATACTTTAATTTAAAATTAATTTTGTGTGGCAGATCAGTATTTTATTATACAGTTTTCATTCCACCATCAATAAGATCTTGTCAGCCTCGCTACCCACTTCTGACCGACATTCGACGTCCCGTTCACCCTCACATCGCATTTTGGTTGATTTCGCTAAAGACCCTCCACAAAATAGGACTCCATTTTTGGAAGCTTCTATTGGCGACACGAGAAAGAGAAACCGTGATTCGGGCTCTAAGAAACTTTTGGGCGCCGAAAGTCGACTACTCCTCGACTACACACGCGCCTTACAAAAGGTGCAACCACCTTTTCTATACTAAAAACCACATCTGGGTCGAGCGTTCTAAAAGACCGCTCGCGCGAGCGACGAGTTACAAGCACTCCTAAAAGTGTGCGGAAAAAACGCTCGGGAGCGGAAAAAGAAGTTCGGGAGCGGGAGAAAAACGCTCGGGAGCGGAAAAAACGCTCGCTTCGCGAAATTTAATGCTTAATCCTTCAGCGCTAAGAGAAATCTCGGTGGTTTACTAGCGGACTCATTTTTGACCCTTGCATTCGTGCTTTCCTTGATCCCAAAAACATGAGTCCAGACCCTTGAAAGCTAAAAATCGGACATTTTAGACGGAGAATACGCCGGGGAGTAAAAGCGTGATATTATTATTATATTATTATACAGGGTGGTTACTTGCGTCACGCATCATAGGGATTTCAATGTAAAATTCATACCATGCGATTATTGGCTCCCCAAATTATTTTAGAGCAAAAATGTATTAAGGTTTTTTGCAGAAAAAAAATTTTTACGTCAATAAACCGTATTAGTTTTCAATTTTTTACATAATAAAGACGGAAAATTGGAAAAATAAAACCCGCATCTTTTTCAATAATCTGCGATGCGATGGAATTATCTAAAACAAAAAGATGTCCAGTTATCAATTAGCAGCAGTTCGAAATGGATTTTATGATCGACTTGGTTACTGTCTTGCAGTTAATGGTGACTTATTCGAACATTTATTGTAAATTGTTATATTATGAAACCGTTTTTAGTAATTTGATATTTCTTTATGTTGAATTCGCTGTTCTAAATATAATACTTTTTGATAGAATTTGATTTGTTTTATAGCAGACATTCCATGGCATGACGGATATTGTAGTTTTTGTATTATAAAATTCCTTGGCATCACAGATTATTGAAAAAGATGCGGGGGTTATTTTCCCAATTTTCTGTCTTCATTATGTAAAAAATTGGAAACTAACGCGGTTGATTGACGTAAAAAATTGTTGTCTATAAAAAACCTTAATACATTTTTGCTCTAAAATAATTTGGGGAGCCAATAATGGAATGTTATGAATTTTACATTGAAATCCCTATGATGCGCGACGCAAGTCACCACCCTGTATAGCAGGTACCTACCAGGACCTTTCTTATACCAGTTATATCCTTAAGAATACGTGTACCAGTTTTCAAAGCGCCGTGCACATTATACGTACGCCTTTCTCCTAGCGATTTTGGAACAGATCCATTTTTGGCAATCCGTTTGTCCGTGTGCATGATAGTTTGTTTAGAAACGTGCGATCGCTTTGAAAATTGGTACACATGGTCTTGAGGATATAAGAAATGTCCCTATTGTTTTTAAGTTACGTAGACTATCGAGTCAAAAAGTTTCACTCCAGGATCGTTCGGTATTCAGTTGTATCGGATTTTTATATTTGATTTTGTGACCATGGAAACTTTCCCTAAACATTTCTAAATTGTTCTCAAATATTTGAATAACTTAAAAGTACTGCCTTTTTTTGAGGCCGGAAAAAAAATTGTCTGAGATCGACCGGGAAAACATTTTCTTATAGAATTTGGCCCGTAGAATCCATAATTTCAAACAGTTCCAAGATTGGGCTACTAGTTCAAAAGTTACAGCCCTTTGAATTTTCTTTCGAAATTGGTTTCTAGTCTATAACTTTTGATTGAGAAGTCTGCTCGAAAAAGTACGAATTGTTTTGGATTCTACGCACCAAAATTAATAAGAAAAAGTGTTTTCCCGAGAAATTTTGGTGCAGTCAATTTTTGGTAAAAAAGGAAGGTAATACACTGCCTTTTTTAGAGGCCCGACAAAAAAATTGTCTCAGATCGACCCGGAAAAAAAATTTTCTTATAGAATGTGGCCTGTAGAATCCATAATTTCAAACAGTTCCAAGATTGGACCACTAGTTCAAAAGTTCCAGCCCTTTGAATTTTCTTTCGAAATTGGTTTCTAGTCTATAACTTTTGATTGAGAAGTCTGATCGAAAAAGTACGAAATGTTTTGGATTCTACGCACCAAAATTAATAAGAAAAAGTGTTTTCCCGAGAAATTTTGATGCAGTCAATTCTTGGTAAAAAAGGAAGGTTAATACACTGCCTTTTTTTGATGCCCGAAAAAAAAATGTCTCAGATCGACCCGGAAAATAAATTTTCTTATAGAATGTGGCCTGTAGAATCCATAATTTTAAACAGTTCCAAGATTGGGCTACTAGTTCAAAAGTTAGAGCCCTTTGAATTTTTTTTCGAAATTGGTTTTTTGTCCATAACTTTTTATTGAGAGGGCTAATCGAAAAAGTACGAATCGTTTTGGATTCTACGCACCAAAATTAATAAGAAAAAGCGTTTTCCCGAGAAATTTAGGAGTAGTCGATTTTTGGTAAAAAGGGAAGGTTAAGTATTCAAATACCTTGCGAAGTATTCGAATACTTTACGAAGTGTCCAAATACTTTGCCAAGTATTCGAATACTAAATATTTGTGAAAGTATTTGAGTTACAAATACAAATACTGCTTCCATAAAAGTATTTAATTACAAAGTATTTGAATACTTTAAAGGATTTGAATACTAAAAAGTATTTACAAAATCGAATACTGCCCAGCTCTGCCCGTTTCAACCTGGCTTTAATCAGTATTGTCTTACCTAGGTACCGGTATGATGTTTACCTTTGTCTCTCAAAAAGTACCTTAAGACCATCATCGGCGACCTCGAGGATTTTTCTTTAGCAATGGAAAGTCAACCGGAACCAAATCCGGTTTTATTTGTTTTCACAACTTGTTTTATTAAATTAAAAACTTCTGCACGTATTGCGAGTGAAATTAGTGAAATATTCTCTAAAATAAAGTTTGAAAACAAAGCTTCGTTGGATTATAGCTGTCGATGTGTCAAACCTTTAAAAGGAACACTAGATTATTTAAAGGAAACGGGCAGAATTTTTTTGTAGAGTTGAGCTAGTTGAGTTCACGTACATCCCAGACATGAAAACTGTACGTCAATGCCAATTAGGTAATACATTATTGATTTCTTATCCACTTCTTAAGCAGTTTTTCAGAAACACTCTGAAAAATTTATTTCTGTGCATTTTTTCTATCGTCAATCTGATCGCAAGTTTTCAACACTCCACTATCAGATAAAATTGTTTTCAAATAGATCTGAGATGCTTTGTTTTTCTATAGAGTTTGAGAGCGACAACTACCTTCTGGAGAAATGGTTCACATTATTTACTTCATTAATTCGTTAGTAGAATACCGACACCTTATTCCCCCACGGTGAGGCACCTTGTCTTCCCAGCTTTTTCGTGTCGTGCCCTTGGGATTTTCCTAGTTACGGCATAAGATAGTGTGTATTTTGCGATAGCCTGAACCGTATAAAATTAAACTCAAAAACGCAAGGAAAATTCCCTAGCACGACCTTGCACCATAAAACACGGTCAGTCCTTAGTTATGTAACCGGGAAATCCCCCTTAACCAAGGTCACCGAATGCGCTTGAATAATTTACAAGGTTATAGGTATCTGAAGGCCATTTTGATTGCAAGATTAAATGTTTTCGTCATACGTTTTGAAAAACCCGCGTTTCTAACACGCTGTAAAAGTGATCGTTTCTATTGCTGGTTAGTATTCGGCTATCTTTCTGCGCGTTAACACGTACACAGGGTCATGACCTTTGACCAGCATCCTCCTCCTTCACCGGAAGGGGATAATTTCTACTCTCGTTTGTGGGATATGCCAATTTGTAGGGTTGGATGTATAATATTTTTAATTTGGTTTCTTTGTGTGAAATGTTTCCTTTAAATTCTCTTTTGTTTTATTCCTAGGATTATTCTATGGGTTCAATAAATAAATATTTAACTAAGAATTTGAAATTATTTCAAAACTAAATAAAATTCTCTTATGTGACAAGAGATTTTTATGCAACTTCAAGTCATATACAAAGTACTAAATTTACAAACGGAAATTTGCTTTGTTCCCGTATTGATTTTCGGATACGAATGAAATTACTTCCTTAAAATGTGAAATAGGATGTCACGGTAGCAAATCCGTATTAGTATTACACTTTTAGCTCAGTGAAGGGGTGCTCATTGTCGAAGCTAATCCTGTGAGTTGTAAAGCCACTGTAAAGCATACATGGGAATGACACTCGTCTTCTCCGCTGCTCTATTAAGAAGTAATCCGTTTTCATTCCTTTTTCATTGTTCAATGAACGAGAATTAAACCTCTTTATATTTGTCGAAGTAAAACGTATTCCGCACCGCGAACTTTTCCTCTTTTTAGCATTAAATAAATATTTAATCACTTAATTGGGCCAAATTGTTGTCCATATATTCCCATAAAAAGACAATCCTAATAAAAATATTCGTACGGTTTTCCCTTACCAAGACTGTGACCCACGTATACCCACGCTATTCAAAAATATCCCAAAATTCACAGTGTTTCGGCACTGTCTCAGGTCTCTGTCAGTAATCTCAAAAGTAACTGGTTTTTAACGTCGTATTTGGTAATGTCACAGAATTTTGGGTACACTTTTTCCCACAACTGGTCATACAGGCCAATTTAACAATTTTGACAGTTTCTGTCCCAATCTATAGTTCGTTATTATTTGTTCATAACAAAATGGTAAAACATTAGTATTACATTGAATTGATATCGCCGTTTTATACTTACCTACGTACAATCCTGATCCCACATCGGATAGCTTTCTTGCCATATTTACATTTGGGGGAATGGGATCGTCCAAAATATCGCACATTCGTAAGTCCGACGCGTGTTCGACGAGTAATTCGACCATATCACCAGTTCTATCCATTATGGCACAGACTTCCTCGAAGGAACGATCGATCAACGAAATTCCTCCCCATTCCAATACACGGTCGCCCTGTTGCAATCCGCCCTTTTCCGCAGGTCCACCGGGTACGGTCCATACAATGTAGGCGAATAATCTACCATCCAATCCGGTTTTGCCACCTACGACGCGCATGCCGAAACCTCGTGCTGAAACAGGCGTTAGCGACCTACAATCCTAGCACGGCAGGACTTACTCCTGTGAGCCTTGTCCGTAGGATCGCGTCGCAGGATCACTCTTTTCTGCGCAGCGGGTCCTGGCGTTGAATCAACGTCGTGTATGACGATTCGGATCGCTTCGGCGTCTATCGAAGCTTGCCGCCTTGGTATAGCCTCGAGATCTTCTAAAGCAGGGGTCGGGCGTGGGGTTACTAACGGCCGCAAACCCGAAATCTCCGGCCTGCGAAGACGAAGAGCTTAAAATGAAGGTCCCGCCCGAACAAGTACTCACAATTGGGATCCTCTCCTTCTCATCCGTCTATCTTCTTCCGGAGTTACTAGAGATGTCGGTCCGACGTCGGGACTTTGGGGACTGACCGGATCGGGCACTATCGCTCGAAATGACGCTTTCCGTCCCAGCGCGGGTGAGGGTACGTTGTTTGCTCCAGGTGCCGAAAATACATCGTATGCAGACGCACGTCTGGGCATTGGAGTCGGTAGACTTAATCCCGCGTCTTCAGATTCTTTTTTGGCTGTCGGCTTTACATCTTCTCCATAACTGTGTTGCCTTGTAACTCTCGATGCTCTACGGGAACGAGTGGCTTCTCTAGGCGGACTATTCGATCTAGAATTTACAGCACTTCTAGCACCACGATTTCCTCTGCTCCAATCTTGCTCCGTCGCTCCTTTGTTGTTACCGCCCTTTAGCTGAAAGTAAAAGAAGGAGTTGGTACAAATCGCTTTGAAGTTCTAATACCTTTTCCAGCTCCTTGAGCGATGCCGGGGAAACGTCGGAATGTCGACGTAACTCTGGACTACGCGGCGGAGCTAAACCTCCACCGGATAAGGTGGCCGATAATCCACCTCCGCCGCCTAGTCGTGCCTCTGAATGTCTACGTTGCAATTCCTGTACGGGTATATCTAGCAAACTTTCTGTCGAGTCTTGCGCTATTTGCGGTCGGGACTGTAACTTTCTCCTGCATACGCTGCATTTCCAATCGTCCGGTTCTTCGTCGTCCGGTTTCTTGCTGTAACTGGCGCAGTCTTCGCACACCCGCTGCGTACATTCGGAACACGTTCTATTAAATTCGTCGGGTTTAAATGCTTTTAAACAAACTCTACATGCACCCATACGGCTCGGTGGTTTTGCCGGTTCCGTCGTTGCCGGTGTTGGCGGTTTTTCTTCGGCCGATGGAGGGGGCGGTTCCGGTTCTTGATTAACTGTGGGACGTGGAGATATTTTTGTTACTGGAACAAAAAAATAACGGTTAACTGAAAATTTAACACTTGTTGATTTAGAGTGTAATAAATCTCATAATTTTTTGCTAAAACCGGATACTGAAATTACACGCGATAGAAGGGGTGTTCACACCATAATATCTTTATTAAAATCTCGACAAAAATAATACGTTTCTCATACACCATTTGCCGCTTTGTTTTGTGATCATTAACACGAAGGCATTTTTGTGGGTATAATAAAATAAGTAAAATGTTAAAACATGCCATATTTGCACGAGATACTGCGATATATTTGACAAAATGGAGCACTCAACAACGTGATTGCTTGGAGGGCATTCCCTAACGTTAACAGGAGAGCAATGGAACATACCAGAATAGTCATAATAACAGGTAATGGTCTTCTTTTATAAACTTAACAGGCCTTCTTATGAAGATTAATTAAGATCATTCTTTACCCCACGTTCCACCGACTTTCTATCTCGCTTCCAATGCATAACGCACAGTGCAAAAAAGAGACCAATTAGGAGTTCCGTCTTCAAAGGCCAAAAATTTACAATCAATACGTTGACGCCCTCTTCACGCAAAACAATGGATATTCGATGATGTGAAATTATTATCCACTCTATAAAATCAGAAACAATAAAATAAAAGGACCATAATTTTATATAGGTAGGTATAAATTTTAACAACTTTGTTTATAAGTCGTGCTAAAGAAAATGTGTTCTAAAACCGTTTATTTCAATAACTTACTCTTAAATTAAGTAAGATGTTTCGACATTTCGATATAAAAAGCGTTTCTGCACGCTTACCCCTATATTGCTTTTCGAAAGAAAATGATCCAGTCTTTCCTGCTATATATCTAAAAACGACCTAGTAACGGAAACTACTAACTTATTTCATTTTTCCGCACATGACAAGGTATAGATGTCGAATCTTCTGCAATTTAAAGGGAATTGGGTTTTACACATTGTAAAATTTTGAGACTGAATTGATAAAATTTTGAGACTGAATTGATAAACAATACGGCTCGGTAATGAAACTCATCGACGAAATTGAGTTACAGTAACTTCGAACAAGTTTAAATTACGTGAGGTAATTTCCTACGTGAGAATTCAATCATGGACACAAACTAAATTAGTTCATTCATGAAGAAATAGTGTTACTTCCACAATCGCATAATTTCATACATTTACCCTAATGATAGACTGAGAAGGTTAGGCTTAAAATAATTACTAATCGGATTGTTACTTATACGGCTCAGTAGACGGATCAAACTTCCCTATCTGCACTGGAGCATCAGAAAATATGGAAACCTGACATAATCTCGGTGTCTACACCCTTATTTGCAACCAAGGATGGCCGAAGGTTCTTTAGAAACCATGCGTGTATAGAAAAGCGTGATGACTATAGCAAATTATGGTATGTCACAATCGCGGAGAGCCAAGTTCCACCTATGAACGAGTTGGGAATTTTTCAATTCCGTACCTATGTCCATTGAGGAGACTTTAAATTTTGTTTTAACACCAAACATTTTCTATAAACCTCTATACAGTTAACTGCATTATCGGTTCTATATTATTCGAGTATTGTTTTTAGTATTAAATATCTGTTTATTTGAAATTCTCAGTCCTTTTCATAAAATAAGGTGTTACCCATCTATAAGAAAACTGTTTAAGTTATGCCAGCAGTATACAGTGCGTTGAAGATAATAATTAATGAACAGTGGGGCGCGACGAAAAAGGCAAATTTTTTTAAATCTTCTTGTAAAAAAAAGTTGCAAGAAGAGTAGACTAATAACCTGTTTTTTCAAAATTTAAAAAATATTGTGTCACGCCCACATCAGAAAACTGATAGGTATGACTTCACTATTGACTCACAGAAAATTTGGTTAATGTATTTCAATTTCTAGCCTCGGCCCCGGGGGGTTAAAAATGTAAAAATGCATTTATCTGCAGCTCTTCGCTTAATTTGAAACTATTCAGATAAAACTATTAAATTGTGTTGAGTTCCAAATTAACATAGAACTCACGACGAGGAGGTGGCCGCATAGTAGTAGTAGTAGTCCACCCTCCCGCCACGATATTGCACATACACTTACTAAGTTACTCATTAGTTTTCCTCCTCAAAAAAGCTAAATATTGACTTTTGTTCTCAAACGAAGGCAACATTGCTCTTACTTTTCTCTAGTGTTCACAACTTTGGAAGATGCTTCAGTCACTAGTTTTACGCACCTTTCCACGATTTATGTGTGACACGGAAATTAGGAAATGCATTTTTCCTTGTTGAAGCAATACTTTTCCACTAGTTTTTTGTAATTGGAGGCTCTGTGATAATCGTACTGCTACGAAACAAGTCTATTAGGCAGATATAGTCAGCTGCTTCAAAGTTTATTGCAGGAGGAGGGGAGAGGTAGGGGTAGTTGAAAGCGAAAAGTGTGATACAGTCACGTGAAGAGTTGTTGTCCTCATGTGCTTTTATTGTGACTATTGGGGCTGGTAGAGCAGATAAGGTATAACCGTGGGTATACCGGAACTGAGCCCTTACCCTAAGGTGAGTGACCGGCACATAACTACAGCTTTATCACACCAGTAGGATTAGCACAGCAGCGATACACATGCACTGATAGGACTTTTGCCACCCAACGTGGGCGCGTGGAGTATTATCCAAAAACTCAATGCTCAAGACTCAAGACTCGTAACGTAAAACTTGAAATTCAAGTTTAAAAACTCAATACTTATTCAAAACTGAAGAATCAAACTCGAGACTCAAAGTCCAAACCTCAAAACTTAAGACTCAAACCTCAAAACTCAAGACAAGAGAGACCTTAAAAACAGAAAATTGCTTTACACACTCTAAAAGCTCCTAAAGATTTCAAAATCCCTTAATATTTGAAAAGTAAGTCTGACTATTATAAAGTACTTGACTAAAAACAATTGAACGTCATTGGAAATTCGTGGAAACACTAAAAAAACAATAGTATTGAGAAATCCTAAGGTCTCATAAACTTTCTTTGAGACTATTACCAACCCTTAACGACGGATAAAAAGCTTTAAGAGTCTCCATAACCGTCCAGTCTTTTCCAAGGCCCTAAGAAGTAATTTAGGGGACTTTTATAAACTCTTTAAGGCTTTTGCAACCCCTTAGAAGCTATTTAGACCCTTAAAGACTATGTAAAGGCTAAGACTGCTTACACATTGTTGATTTTTAGCTGCGCGAAGAACTGTGGCAGGCTCTAAATACCACACCTTTAAGGTGAAACAATTAGTGATACATAAAGGACCTTAGACACCAAGTCCTTGGATGATCTTACAGTTTCTTAAACCTTGAACGCGTTGACTTATTTCAGGAAGTACAAGAAAGGATAAATCGAACGGCAATTAATAAAAAAATTATAGATCTAATAAACGGAATACATACAAAAAACAGACATCATTAGAGGGACTCACAATATCTACCTTAAAGGAAATAAAGGAGGCGACAGGCGTAAAGCACTGGAGGGCAAAGAGAAAACGCTACTGCGGGCGACCCACAACACCCGAGACGATCAGCTAAAAATAATCATAGACAAAGCCAAAGGGGTTGCAACGGATCAGTGGGGGATAAGGGAAAAAAGGGCCACTTACTAGATACGAGATATTAACCGGATAACGAAAGCAGAAGAGATTAGGAGAGCCGTGGAGGTCCTGGGGAAAGAGGAAGTTGATAAAGTTGATTTGTCAAAAATTAGGGTAGCCAAAAGCGGACAGAGATCCGATACACTCAGAATATCAAAGGAGTGGGAAAACCACTTCGACATCATACTAAGGTTATGAGGTTGGAATCACGAAGTGTAACATGCAAAAAGGGCGGAAGTAAAAAAATGTCAAACATTCTGGGGGCTCATTGGAAGGAATGTGTACCCATGAACGCACAGTCAAAAATAGATGCCCAAAATGTGACGAAGAGGGAAGATTATGTGTGGAGTTCGGCAGGGATCGGTGCTTGGCCCCACCCTGTGGAGCATTTTGTGTAATATGGTCCTGAAATGCCAATCGGAGCGCGCAATTTACCGATGATTTGGCTCTCATTACAATCGGGAAAACGGCTTAAGCTGCGAAAAAAATTCCGAGCACGCTTTAAAAAATGTTTATATTATGTGGATGGACAGAGACTTAAATTAGCAGCTCACAAAACAGAGGCGGTTTTCTTATCGTGAAGAAGGAATGCGGGTGACGTAATCAATATCTAGACAAAAAGGTGATTTTTTTCTACACCTAGACGCAACTTCGATAGTCATGAGCGCAATAGAGCGTTGTCATTGTCACTCGGTATGGTAGGAAACCATGAAGATGTCTTTGTTCAGACAAAAGCTCCTGGCGGTGCAACTGAGAGTATGTCTCCAGATTGTAAGCGGGTACAGTTCAACGAGCGCTGATACGTTCCCCGTGATGACCGGCAGCATCCCTTGGGATCTCGTAGCTTAAGAGAGGTGCTGTATCTAACTATCTACGAAGGAACGGATCCGAATAAAGAGAGAACAAAAACAATGGAAATTTGGCAACAGAGATGACAGGAGACAGAAAAAGGTAAATGGTAATGACGTTTTGTAGCCTTGTTCTAGGTGCGTTTATATTTTTTTCAGTTTTGTAAAGCTTTATTGTTATCACACCAATAAGTTATTAATCGCCCTGTGATGGATCAGAAACGTCAAACTTAACGTGCAGGCTAATTGCCAAAAAAACGTTATTTTGCGTTATTTAGTGTAGGCCAAATTACAGATAACTTAAGCGTTAAGTTTAACGTTAGTATGATACATCAAAGGGCTGATTATCATTATTACCTGAACGTTTCGATGACGGTAACTTGGAGAAAAATGGACATCGAACTCGAATAAAACTGAAGGCTAATCCTTTTATACTCATAGCTATCACCATTACATAGTAATTTCAATGTAACGAAGGGATTATGCAAGAGGACAATAACAAATTAATCGACGTAAATGTATTTATCGCCGTCCATTAGAGGACTCA